CCCCCCCCCCCCCCCCCAGTGCAGTCCTGTGCAGGCTGGGGATCTGAGCCAGGTATATGGGACTATTGTGTGTACAGAAGATGACTTATTGCTATTTTTATTTCATGTCAAATTGATTGAATTATAAATTTATGAAACAATTAGTATTTGTTTAAATATTAAGCAGTTGACATTCCCCTAGTCTAAATATTTACACATTAGAGAGGTAAGTTACAAATAAAAAGTTTAAGAAGTTAAATGCCTCCAAACATTCAAGATATGCTTGAAATGCTAATAATGCCTTTAAGCATTTGATTAGATCACAATTTAATACCTTAAATTTTCTTAAATTATTTGAAAGCAAGCAAATTTACACACATACAAATATTCCAAAATTGATGAGCTCTCTTGCACTACAAGGATTTACAAGTAGTATCAATTCTGTGGACAGTTACAGCTGATAGTAAATAGATGATAGATGAGAGAGAGAGGGAGAAAAATATAGAAGGAGGGAGGCTAAAAGAATGAAGGAACTTAACACATAAGGACTGTCTAAAGATCCCAAAAACAAGACCCTCATAGTGGAGCAACAAAGAGAAAGCCTTTTTCTCTGTCAACAATATGGTCAGTTTGCATTGAGACTGCTCTGCCTTTCGTTTCCTGTGTCAACAGACACTTAGATTGGTCCCAAGAAAAAAAGAACAAAGAGTCGATATTGTGATGTGTGGGTCAAGGCAAGAACTAGATGCCCTAAGAACAAGCAAGACAAGGAATGTAACTTATGCGCGATCCAAGGAAACGGACGGTTTACGCAGGTGTCTGAGAACAATCTCAGACTCGAGAAAAATTTAGGCTAAGGGCTTGTAATTCTTGGTGTAGGGCTTGCAAAACGGGTCTTAACTCTTTACAGGGCACCGATGCATAGAGAGGTCAAACCCCCGCCCTGGGGCGCATAGCTCGTAAGAGGCAGAACTGGGATTTGAAACCGGAGCTCTGGGATCTCAGCCCCTTCTTCCACCTCTTAATCCGCCCTTCACATTACGTTTTCTCCTTTGTGCTCCTTGCTGGTGTCACCTCCCAGAACCTCGGGTAGTTTCCGCTTTCTTGCCTCCAGGGGTTAGCCTTGGGGTCCGCCTGGGTGGGCGCCGGGACCCGGGGACCCTGAGCTGAAGACGTGGGGGCCCACGAAAACCGGGGTGTAGTCGCTGGACTCTATTTCCCAGCGCCCCGCGAGGTGATGCTTGGCCGTTGCCGTGGAGATTGGGAAGGGCACCGCCTACAGCTCCGAAAAGCAGACGGGAACTACACCACCCAGAAGGCTCGACGCGTGCTGGGCAGCTTACATTGGCCCAATGAGAGGTTGGGGGGGCTGGACTTCCGGCGTCCGGGATTGTCACTTTGCTGCCCGGCGTCGGGCCACACCGGCGATCCGGGCCAGAGCGCGCGGGGTCGGGGCTGGTTTTCTAGGAGTTTCTGGGGGCCCGAGGCGAGGGCAGCGAGGAAGATACTAGCAGAGGGCCCGCGCCTGTGCATGCGTCGTGACCACTAGCTGATGGCCCGCCCCCGAGCCTCGGTTTCTCCGGGCGTAGCGTAGGCGGCCCCGTGAGGCCGTCGGGCAGCGCCCCGAGCCACGTGCTTTCCGGCCCCCGCAGCAGCCCCGGAGGCGGCGTCCTGGGCGTTCTGCGCCCTTGACTGAAGAGGAGGCTGAGTCCCGGAGCCGGCTGCAGTCAGGCATCAGCGGTGCCCGGGTTGTTCACCCCTTCTGCCCCCAACTGCAGGTTCCGATGGCGGCGTCTCTGATCGACCCGGCGCGGGTGAGTAAAGGGACCCCTCTTCCCATGGGCCCGAGCCCCCGTTGAGGGAAGGACTTTACCTAGAAGGCTTGTCTTTCTCTTGTTGCCCCGGGGTGCGGGAGTGGAGCGGGGCGGTTTGTTCTAAACCCAGGTTTCCAGGCCAGTGGGGCGTGCACGTGTGGGATCCCCACTTCTGGCAGCCAAGGGGGTGAGGTCTTGAAGGAAGTACCAAGGGGAGAGTCCCGCACGTGCAAAAGCTGGAGGGGGGACTGAGCCTAGGTCCTTCTGAACTGAGCGTTCTCGATCTGGAGCTCGGTGACAGGACATAGGTGGGCCTGAGATGACAGGCTGAGGAGCTGGGACTTTATCCCGAAGGCACTGGGAGCCCTGGAAGGTTTTGAACAGAGACTGGACACCCCCTGAGTTAGGCTTTTAAAAGTATCCCACTGTTTACCGAGTGGAGAACAGAAGCGGAGGGGAGTGTCTGGTGTGCAGAGTGGACGCTACTGCCACAGGCCCGGTGAGTGATGATGGCGCCTGGATCAGATGGGGCAGTGGTGGTGGGAAAGGCGGTTGAATTCGGGGTATCCCACTGTTTACCGAGTGGAGAACAGAAGCGGAGGGGAGTGTCTGGTGTGCAGAGTGGAGGCTACTGCCACAGGCCCGGTGAGTGATGATGGCGCCTGGATCAGATGGGGCAGTGGTGGTGGGAAAGGCGGTTGAATTCGGGGTAGGTCTGCTGATGCATCAAGTGTAGGGTGTGAGAGTGTGTTGTGAGTGAAGAAGCATCCCAAGTTTTACAGCCTGTCTGGAATAATGGAGCTGCTGTAGACAGAAAGGAGAACTTGAAGAGGAAACAGGTTTTTTCAGAGGAAAGATCAGGAGTCTGTGATGTCTCCCAGTGGAGTCATTCGTGGATCTGAAGTCCTGAAGTTGTAGGTGTCCAATGGACAGAGTCCTGATATCCTGGGCCCAAGCAGGGCCTGGGAACTGGACTGAGGAGAAGGGACGAGCTCACAGACTCAGTCAGGGAAGAGCAGCTGGGGTTGTCTGGGACTGTGGGAAGAATCTGACGGGTAAAGTCACACTCTGTGGGGGCCAGCTCGGTGGCGCACTGCTACAGTGCGCTGCTTGGGAAGCGCAGCGGTGCTCCCGCCGAGGGTTCGGATCCCACATACAGACCGGTTCCCGCTCACTGGCTGAGCGAGGTGCAGGGAGCAACATGGAGGGTTGCGATCCCGTTGCCGGTCCCGGGCCGGTACGGGTGCGACACTGAGGGTTGCGATCCATTGCCGGTCATGAAAAAAGACAAAAAGGAAAAAAAAAAAAAAAGTCAGACTCTGTGGGAAGGAAACAGAGGGGGCACCACTGTGGAGGAAGGGACTGACTTGTGCATGTCCACCAGGAGCTGCGTCCTGGATCACAGAGCCCTACCTTAGACCATGTCTATCTTCCTCTGCCTGCTGTCGTAGGGCATGATGGCCTTTGAGGACGTGGCTGTGTACTTCTCCCAGGAGGAGTGGGGGCTTCTGGACACAGCCCAGAGGGCCCTGTACCGCCATGTGATGCTGGAGAACTTCGCACTTGTGGCCTCACTCGGTAAGGCTCTGGGTCCTCCATGGGAAGTGCCGTTGGTGCCAGAACTGCCTCGTCCCCTCCTTGTTGGCTCATGAGCAGCCCCACACCTTCTGGCCAAGGACCATGTAGGGCTGGGGTCAGGCCCCAGAGATGTGAAGTCTGGTTGGTTCAACCACTCCCTATGGTCCTGTCTGGCCATGACCTCTCTGTGCCTGGACTCAGTACCCTTCCCTTGGTGCTACTGACACAGTTGCTGCTCATGGGGACCCTTGAACTGGTTCCTGTGAGCCCCTCCCCGTGGTACAACCGTTGGGTTTTCCTGGTTGCACAGATGACACTATATCCATGAAGCCCTGACTCCTGCCATCTGTTGGGAGGTGGGTTGTCGTGAGCTGGGGCCAGCCTCTCACCTGCTCCTCCACCTCACAGGACTCTCCACCGCCCGACCTCGCGTGGTCATCAAACTTGAGCGTGGCCAGGAGCCCTGGGTTGCCGGTGGGATGGACGTGACCCCAGCCAGCAACGCCCACAGGAGGCCCAGCCCTGGTGAGTGGGTGCTCAGGGTGGGGTAAACTCAGGACCAACCTGTGTCCAAGCCAATGTTCCCCCTTCCTGCCTCCCTCAGACACACCTGACTCCCTTCCCTTCCATCTTCAGCCTCTCTTGGAGGCTGAGGCCTTGGCTACCTTTTAAGGGGGCACTCCAAGGGCACAGGAGTTGAGTTCACATGGAAGGTCACCCCCAGGCATGATGAGACCTGCTCAGAGTCCTACCCCCCAGCTGGGCTGTGTGGCTTCAAACTCTGCATATCTAGCTGCCACGTTTATGGGGCCATTCCTTCTGTCATTCATATGTTCACCCAGTGTTTCTTGAGCACTGGGGACACAGCCTCGACCAGGATGCCCCTGGTCCTGCTTTTGCGGAGCTGACAGTGCCTGGGGAGAGGCAGTCAGTAAACAGGATTCATAAGTAAAGTCTATAGCATCAGATGGAGGTCAGTGCAAGGAGCAAAAGCAGTCTGGGAAGTGAGTGCTGGAGAGAGGGCCACTGGAGAGAAGGGAGTAAGCTATGGGAAGGGTGTAGGGGGCGTGGGACAGCCAGTGCAGGGTCCTGGGTGCCATGTAGCAGCTGCTCGGTTTTCCTCACCCCCACATCTGGGTGTCTGTGGGCTGGTGCCTTGACCACAGGGGTCCTTGATACAGTGAGTGCCAAACTTGTCAGGGCAGATGCTTCCCCCATTCCCCACCCCTTCTGCAGGGCCAGCCTGGGCCTTTTCTTTCCCCCCCCTGCCTGCCCACTCAGTCTGCCCTGGTCATCTCCTGGCCAGGATGACCCAGGCAACCGCTGTTTCTCTGCCTTCAGGTTCCCGGCGTCTGTCAAAGGACAAGGATGTTTCTGGAAAAGCAGCATTATCAGGGGCCTTCCCCGATAGCCCCCCAGGGACACCTATTAGTGTCCTCCCCACTGCGGGTGCCTGCCATGGTGCAAAAAGCCAGGAGGGACAGTGGGGCCCTTCCCCATCTCGGGAGAGAAAACCCACAGGAGTGTCGGTGATCTACTGGGAGAGGCTCCTGCTAGGCTCGGGCAGCGGCGAGGCAAGCGTCAGCCTGCGACTGACCTCCCCCATAAGGGCTCCCGAAGGCAGCCCATCCAGGGAGAAGGACTTCAAAGACCCCCCGCAGAAGCAGCCGAGAGCACTCGAACAGCCGAAGCCATACGCACGGGCGGCCCCTGGGAGAGCCTTCCCTAGCGTCCCGGACCTCGAGGCCTTTGGTGCTGGGGTAGAACGTGGGATGGGTGCAGCTTGGCGTGAGCCTCAGAGACTCGCCGGCGGCCGGGAGCCCCCGACCTGGGATGAGCTGGGCGAGGCCCTCCATGCCGGACCCGGCCTCCTCCCCGGGGAGAAGTCCTTCGAATGCAGGGCGTGCAACAAGGTGTTCGTGAAGAGCTCCGACCTCCTCAAGCACCTGCGCACGCACACCGGCGAGCGGCCGTACGAGTGCGCCCAGTGCGGCAAGGCCTTCAGCCAGACGTCGCACCTGACGCAGCACCAGCGCATCCACAGCGGGGAGACGCCCTACGCCTGCCCGGCCTGCGGCAAAGCCTTCCGACACAGCTCCTCGCTGGTGCGGCACCAGCGCATCCACACGGCCGAGAAGTCCTTCCGCTGCGGCGAGTGTGGCAAGGCCTTCAGCCACGGCTCCAACCTCAGCCAGCACCGCAAGATCCACGCGGGCGGGCGGCCCTACGCCTGCGCGCAGTGTGGCCGCCGCTTCTGCCGCAACTCGCACCTGATCCAGCACGAACGCACGCACACCGGGGAGAAGCCGTACGCATGCGCGCTCTGCGGCGCCGCCTTCAGCCAGGGCTCGTCGCTCTTCAAGCACCAGCGAGTGCACACGGGCGAGAAGCCCTTCTCCTGCGCGCAGTGCGGCCGCGCCTTTAGCCACAGCTCCAACCTCACTCAGCACCAGCTGCTGCACACGGGCGAGCGGCCCTTCCGCTGCGGGGACTGCGGCAAGGCCTTTGCCAAGGGCGCCGTGCTGCTCAGCCACCGGCGCATCCACACTGGCGAGAAGCCCTTCGTGTGCGCGCAGTGCGGCCGTGCCTTCCGCGAGCGCCCGGCCCTCTTCCACCACCAGAGGATCCACACTGGCGAGAAGGCCGCGCGGAAGCCCAGGGCCGGCCTGCGGCCCCCCGCCAGGCCTCCTTCGGAAGGTGCCCCGGTGAGGGAAGCCCAGCCCACTCCTGCCTCCAGCCCAGCTGCAGTCCCGAAGCCAGTCGAGGCTTGAGGTCGCTGCTTCACCCTTCCCTGGCGTTCTGTGACTCCCTTCCTCACCTAAAGGACCCATGTCCTCTGCAAATCCACAATGGAAAGAAGCTCTGTGTGTGCGAGCCAGGGACGAGGGAGACCTTTTGGCTGCGGTTCTATTTGCACGTGGTGACAGGATTTGCCACTTCAGCCATAGCTCACGCCTTCATCCCCAGAGAATTCACACTGCAGAAACATCAGGGATACGGGCATGGCATGGAGACTGGGACTTTGGTGGGCCCGAGACTGCAGCCAGACCCAGTGGGAGGCCAATAAAGGCGGCCCCGCACGGTGGTGCCACTTCACGAGTATTATGACTGGACGCTAAGGTGTGGAGGCGGGGTGGTTTGGAAAGGGGGTGGGAGCAGCCCAGAGAAACTTTTTTTTTTTTAAAAGATGCCCGGTAAGGGGATCAACCCTTGACTTGGTGTTGTCAGCACCATGCTCACCCAGTGAGCAAACCGGCCATCCCTATATGGGATCCGAACCCGTGGCCTTGGTGTTATCAGCACCACACTCTCCCGAGTGAGCCACGGGCCGGCCCCCAGAGAAACTTCTGAAGTCTGCACACAAACTGACCGCTAGACCGACACTGGGGATCCTCCCCCCAGGCTACTGTTCATCCAAGGCTCAGGAAGCCACAGGGAAGTAGGGGTCAAGCTTTGGGCAAGTGGTGGGCTCTGAGCCTCAGCTTCCTCCGGGAAGAAGAAAAAGGTTCCCACCCTCGTGGTGTTTGCAGACACCCTGACAGATGGGATCCTAATAATGGCCAACACGTGTTCACTGCCAGCCTCTGCTCTGAGTGCTGGGAATTTCCTTCTGTAATGTGAGGTGGCTCCTGCAGTTGATGTCCACTCAGAAGATGAGGAAACAGGGGAGGTGAATTGCCCAGGGCACACAGCAGAGCCAGGACTCAAACCTAGGTGCACTGGCCCAGCATCCAGATGCCTCACCCACCCCCACATACTCGAGGTGCACTCAAGTCTGCCAGGTGTGGCCTGACACCCGCCCCCCCAGCAGACCCACAGGAGGTGGAGGCCCTGGGGGCAAGAGGTGGCTTCCCCCTTCAGCACTGGAAAGACAGATGATGGCTCTCCTGTGGTGCTCATTTACATTCTCCAAGCCTCATCTTTAGCCAAGTCCTATCAGTGACTCTTGTAACCAAAGTCAACCTTAAGAGGAGCCTTTACATCCCGGGGTGGTGGTAACATTCAGAGGAGACAAGATGGGGCTGCTCGTTTTGCTGGGTTTGGTGGCCACGTGCCCATCCATCTTCCCCCTCAATTGGAGGGTGGACAGAGAGCTGAACAGGAAGGATTTGCCATTACCTAAGGCCATGTTTGGTACCTTCCTGAGATCCACCCTCCCGCCCAGTATAATACCCCCACATGGGACAGAAGGGTGCAGTGGTGGCTCAGTTTGCTTCCTGTGATCTTTGGCAGACCAGGGCCTTACCTCCAGGGAAGTTAATGGTCTTTTTACGGGGAAAAAAAAAGACTAGAGTTTACAACTTGGAATGGACATTGTAATTTCTTGCACAGCAATGTGGAAGTCCTCAGCCTCCAGGCTCCAGAGCATGGTTCAGGTTTTATCAAGAGTTCAAAGGGGCTCCCTGATAAAGGTTTCTTTTTAAAACATTTGTATGAACATTAACAGTCTGATGCCTGTTTCACCCTAATACAATGCAGATAATATTAAGAGAACATATACAGACAGGCCATCAAGGTGTGTTATTGTCAGAGGTTTGGGGACTTGGCTTCAATCTGGGTCCCCTTGAGAGGCCACAAGGTAGATATGCAGCCTGTCTGCAGCCCGGCGAGGGACTGGGACACCTGTATCTCCTTGGTGGCAAGAGGTGGGTAGGGTGGGCAGGGTTGGTCTACCCCCAGCAGCAGCTCTGCTGGGAGATGAGCCTTCATGAATCCAGGCTATGGGAGGGTAGTGGGTGGGGAAACTGAGGCAGGGCTGTGTGCCACCTGCCGCTGAGAGTGGGTGTAGCCACATGTGTGAGGTGAGTCAACTGGCAAGGTTGACTCCAGTTCCATCCAGTCCAAGACCTTGCAGCCATCCTCCATACACAAGTAGCACTTGCCATCAGGGCCAGACCTATCTTTTGCCCCTCGAGACTCACAAGTTCCGTAAGGAGATAGGGCATACACGACCCAGCTCCCCAAGACCCTGTAAAGGCAGGTCCTCTGAACCTGTCCTCCTGATACCCTATGGGGGCATCTGTTGAACAAGCGGGTACCCAGAGCGTCACATAAAACCTTTACGGTGCCTTGGAGGGAAGTGCCTGGAGCCATTTCTGCCCTGAGCCCTCTATACCCCTCAGACTGGGCTCAAATGCCTTATCCTGTCTCCCCACTTGCCTCCTCCGTCCTTCATCAAGCCCATTCCCACTTCTGTGCTAGTGCCTCTGTTGTCCCTCAGCTCCTCCACCCTCCTCAGATCTGCCCCTCCCAATACCTGGGACTGGTCATTGGCCTCCAACCTGGGCTCCTACCTCCCCCCATGTCTTGGCCCCTCATTTGCCTCCCCTCCAACCTCTGCGGTCATGTTGAGCTGGCCCCTCTGCCCTTAACCTTGAACAGGCCGTGACTGTAAAAGTGCCCCTGGGCTTTCTAGGTCAAAATATCAGACTCAAGACATGAATCTCACTCAGCTCAGAAATCCACTGAAACCACAAAGAGGGAAGTGTTTCAAACATACAAACCCACAAGTATGAGGATGATGAAAGGAGTCAACGGCAACAGCATTCTGAATCTAGAAGTGGATGGGGGAGCTGTCACTGATTTAAGGAAAGCCAAATATCTAGGCGGCACTGGGGTAAAGTGGAAAGGTCAGACCAGGCTAACTCTGCAGTACGCTGGAAGGTTTGGGAACCAGCAGCCCAGAGAGGAGAGACCTACAACAAAGCTGCCTGGGGGACAGCTACTTGAGAAGCTATTAAAGCCCCAATGCTTTCCCCAGCTGGTGGATGGTGAGAGTTGACTCTGGGGAATCTGCACAGTCCTAGAGAGAAGACCCAAGCCCCTTAAAACAGCCCAACCTGAGGAAGCCACTGGGAAGCTCAGAGGTGACAAGCCCCACCCATGCACAGTCCCAGAGCTTCCAATCAGTGTTTAATACCAACTGCTCTTCAGCAGGCAGCCAGGGATTCCCAGATATCAGATGAAAGCAAAACAGGCAGATGCAATTTAGTATTGAGTAAGTCATGGTTCAGCCACTTGATGCGTGAAAGCAAAACTGACCCCATTCCACAGTCGGATTTTAAAAACAATAGCATTGCCTATTGAGAGAAACTAAATAAAGGTCACCCTGCCTAGTTCTGGTCCCCAAAGTAAAAGTTTAAGCATGTCCCATAAGCCTGGACAGAAATCTCCATCCCTCACTTTGTAGTACTGATAGCTGAAGACATGTCAGAGACTTTGAGGGTATTGTCAGTTACCTCATCAGTAAATAGGTACCTGCCTGCGTCCCTGTTGCTCCCGCATGTCCGCAGGGCACCTAACGGAAGTCTAATAAAGGACCCCAGCACCCTCTTTGCGGGACAAATCGCCGGGGATGGCGGAGAAGAGGCCCACGAGTCAGGCTGGCCTCTCCCGCTGGACCCTGGCTTCTCCAGGGGCCAACTTGGAGGCGAGTCTCCGCCAAACTACAAGACCCAGGAGAACGCGCAGCCGCCGCTTCCGGCCTCCGAGGAGAGCAGAGACGCCCCGGTCGTTGCTATGGAGACAGCGGGAGGTGGGCGGATGTGCTACAGCTGTTACCTAGGGGACGACTGGGCGGTGGTAAAGACACCTCACGAAGGGAGCTAGGGGGGGCGAAGGCGTTTGGGCGGGTCGCCGGCTCTGATTGGCTAAAAGGTCACTCTCTCCCCGCCCCTTACTTGCAAATAGTCGCTAGGCCATTGTGCACGTGAGCAGGATTCTAACTTGGTGTCCAGCTCCGCAGGTGAGTCCCGGGGCTGGGGTGCAAAGGAAGAGCGCCTGCCGCGTCAGGAAGGGGGTCCCCAACACTCTGCGACACTACAGATTCCTCTAAAACGAACAGAGCATCTCTCAGTTGTGAGAAGCCTGTGAGCATGCGCGCCCGCTGGCCGAAACACGGCTGACCTTACTTGCTGAGGCTCATGGGAAACGTAGTCCAAGGGAGGGGGCGATTTTTGGAGCAGGCGCGGGATTGTCCAGCGCGGTATCGCCAGGGTAACGGGCGGGCCGGGCGGTGCAGTGCTACTTCCCGGAAGTGGCTTTCAGGCCCCGGCGCAGCGGTGGAGGTGAGCGCGGGCTTGGCTGGGTGGCGCGCTGCTTTCCCCATCCCCCGGGACCTGGCCGGCACCGCTCCCTGCGCGCCCTCACCTCTGAGCCTTTGCACAGGCCTTTCCTCGCACCCAGAACATCGTTCCCTATGCCCGGCCCTCGCGCTCGTCCTTCTGGAAGGCCTCCTCCTTTCCTTCCCATTTTGCGGGGCCGACGCCGAAATCCCAGGGTCCTTTGGGAGTCAGTCCTGGTCCCCAGCCTGTTCTCCTAGGAGAGTGTCTCACTCCAGACGCTTTTCAAGGCTGGGGCACAGTTGCCAGCCCACCACTTCACCCAGTGCATGGCTCCGCTTTGCTTAGCTTTTGGTTTTGTTTTTGGCTTTTACATGCACCGGCCCAAGTGGTGCCAGCCATCCACAGTTCGCTGGGGTCAGCTAGCACGATGCCATGGAGTCAGCATCAGCCCCTGCCTTGCCTCGTGGTGTGGTCATACTCCGCCCCCAGAGCCAGTCCCTCAGGTTGCCTCACTTAAGTCAACATGTCCCGGAGATCGTGGGGACAGAAGCACCCCGGCACAGCCCAGCCGGAATCCGCCTCCTGCCTGCTGCTCTTCCCATCCTCAGTGCTCCTGCTCACCCTGAACTATGGTCCCACCTGCCTGACTGATCGTTCCTTCTTTGCAGGGCACTTTCCGTGGCTCTTCAACCTCACCCTGGAAGCCTGGGATGAATTCCTTTGCCCACCTCTCGTCATCATCTCCCAACAGTCCAGTGTTGTACCCAACTGTTTATAATATCCTGGGAGCTCTGTGGCCACCTCACCTCCACTCATTTGTCCCCAAGACTTCTTCCTGTTCTCAGTTCTTGTTAGCAGTCAGCTCCTGTGACCCCCTCCTTCCATGAAGCTTTCCTGGCCTCACCCACCCCTAGTCTCAGGTCCTCTCTGTCCTGGCCTCAGCTCCCTGGGCTGGGCCTGGTGTCTGCCTTTCCCTGGCCAGGGCCTCTTGGCTGACACCTTGACCCCTCCTTTTCTATAGGTCCCTCTTGGCGGCTACAGGAAGACACTCCTCCCCCCAAGATAGAATGCCATCCTCTTTTGGTCCTCCATGCCTGCCCCTCATGGACCCTGAAACCACCCTCGAAGAGCCTGAAGCTGCACGCCTGCGTTTCCGGGGGTTCTGCTACCAGGAGGTGGCAGGTCCCCGAGAAGCCCTGGCCCGGCTGCGCGAGCTGTGCCACCAGTGGCTACAGCCTGAGGCATACTCCAAGGAGCAGATACTGGAGCTGCTAGTGCTGGAGCAGTTCCTGGGTGCACTGCCCCCTGAGATCCAGGCCTGGGTGCGAGGTCAGCGGCCAGGCAGCCCTGAGGAGGCCGCTACCTTGGTTGAGGGGCTGCACCATGATCCTGGTCAGCTGCTGGGCTGGGTGAGTGTGGCTGGCATTGGCTTCTTGAAGGGACAGACCAAGGCTGGAGCCTCCATGACTTGCCTCTTCTCTTCAGATCACAGCTCACGTCCTGAAGCCGGAGATGCTCTCTGCAGCCCAGAAGACAGAGGAGTCCTCTGGGAGCCCCTACCCCTCAGAGACAGTGGAGCCCCCTGGGGCAGCCCCCGGGGAGGGTCCACAGGATGCCAGGATGGAGGGGTCTGCCCAGCTCAGCTACAGTGTGAAGGAGGAGCCCAATGCCAGTGGGCAGGAGATGGGTGAGGGGGGGCCACACCAAGTCTGGGGGCTCCTGGAGGGAGTGTGGACATCCCTGGCTGGGGTGGAGCCCCTAGAGGGACTGCAGAGCTGGATCCCCAGGAGGCAGGAACAGAGGGCTGGCTGCCTGCTATACTGCAGGGCAGAGGAGCAGCAATAACACCAGGTCTTCCTCCGCCCCAGCTCACATGGGTAGCCCCTGACATGCCCTCCCATTTGCCCTGCTTTCCAGCACCCTCCAACCCACCACTTCCAGTCCAGCCCCCTGAGGCCCACCTTGGACATCAGGAACCAGCCTCCACATCCTCTCATCTACCCAGAATTCAGGTGAGCTGCCGCAGGTGGGAAGTGCAGGCCCCAGGTGTCGGGGGAGGGGGGACCCTGGTGGCCACCCTCTGCCCTGTAGTTTTCCGGGCTCCTTGCTCCCCAGAAATGGAGTCATAGCAACAGTACCCCGACATGTTCTGGGGGCAGAGGGACAGACTGGTGGGTGGTCTCTATCATTAGAAAGGATTTGGGTCTCAGGCCATGGAAACTTGGTTTAGAGTGGCTAGAACTGATGGGCTTGGCTTCCTCACATCCAGAGAAGTCAGTTGGCAAGTTTGCACCTCCTGGAGGTCCTAGGCCAGCACTCAGGGATTTGAACTTGTGTGTGTACAGGTGCGGTGGAGAAAAGATGACCACCACCTGTAGGACTCTCCCCGCATCTGAGGCCCGAACAGAGACACTCTTTCTGGGAAATGCCTGAAGTCTCTTCTCTCCTGGGGCTTTCTCAAAGGGCAACCAGCTGGGCCTGGAAGCTCAGTTCGAGGGCCCTGCTACCTCAAGCACTTGGTTCTCAAGTGTGGGTAGCAGGGGTCTTGCTTTCTCTCAGCTCTTCTGCTTCTAAGCCACTCCATGTGGGAGCTCCCACAGCAGAACTGCTGGTTGAGACGTGCTTTGAGGCAGAGAAATCCCTCCAGGCTCCCTCTGTGGCCCGATGGCACAGTTAGAAACATGAGGCAGGGTGGGAAGGCTGCACCCTTCTACGGCGTCCTCCCTGTCAGACAGCCCCATCTCTAGCTGTGGCTGCTGCCTCCCTGCTCTGGGACCCACTTTGGCTTATGCTTCAAGATTGTTTTTTCCAACCCACCAAAGCTCAAGATGATGGAACTCGGGGTGGCGAGGAGGGCAGATGCCTTGGGCAAGGAGTGCATTCCTTGGTAAAGCCATTGTGGATCCTTGCTGTGCTGCCAAGCCCACCCTCTCTCAGGACCTTGCCCAAAGCAGCAGGGAAACTCTGCTTTCTCCACCAGCACTCCCTCGCACCCCCTCAGACTTCCCAAGGTGCCTGCCTTCTGCCTCCCCACATCCAGCCTTCGGTGGTTCCCCAAGGTGGATCTGTTACTCTTGTAACCAGAGGCTTGGCAGGAGGTGGCTAGGTCCCCACCAGTTCCCTGGTCTTTTGCTCTCCCTGTTCAAGACATGGTGACAGGAGGAAGGGTGAAGACAGCCATGGCTATCACTGCCTGGCCTCCTGGAAGCCTGCCCTCAGTTTCAATCTTTTGGGCTAGAATGTGGGGTGGGGTAACTGATGGGGGAGGAGTGCTGCCAGGGCTGGTCAGGTGACCTGAAGGATGACCCCAACACTCACAAACACTCATTGGGTTCATCTTTAGCCCACCTGGCAAATGAGGCTTAGGTAGCCTGCCTTCTCCCCCAGGTAATGAGTAAGGATGTGACACCAGAAGGGGTGGAGTGAGGGGTGGGCACCGATGATGATGGGCCCTGTCCTCCACAGGAGGAATGGGGGCTGCTGGACCTGTCGCAGAAGGAGCTTTACTGGGATGTGATGCTGGAGAAGTACGGCACTGTGGTCTCGCTGGGTGAGGATCAGCTAGTGCCTCCCAGCCAGCCCCCCACCCCCTATCCCTCTCCTTTGGTGCTGGCACCTGACCCCTGCGGTCAGCCTTGCTGGGCTGGGCATCTACAACATCAACCTGGAAACACACAACCCAGCCTTTCCCTGTGTGCATTCTTGTAACACTCTAGAGCCCCCACCCATTACTACTTTGTACGAGCCCCTTACCCACCCCTACGCTGGGCCTGGCACCTGATCTGCACCCCACCCCAGCAGGCTTACCGCCCCCCAGGCCGGAAGTGCATGCAGAGGCAGAGCCTGGGACACCGAGCGTGGGGACCGAGGTCCTCAGAAGCCTCCGCCCTGGTGAGTGCCCCTCTGTGACCTGTACTGCCGGACCTGGGTGGGGTGGGAGCTTGTGCCACCCCTGCAGGTCTGGGGTAGGGGTGGGCCTGTGTCGTAGGTGCCAGGGCTCACACATGTCTATCCACATCTCATTCCCCCAGGAGAGGAGAGTGACAGTCACTGCGAGGGTCCTCCCTGCTGCCCAGAGGCCCAGCTGCCCCAGGGTCCAGGACCTGTTACCTGGGAGGGCCCATCTAGGGCTACTGCATCCACCCTGGGGACACCCATTGCGTGTCCCCCGCCCACAGCCCCAGGGGTTGGGCTAGAGCCAGGCACCCCTCCAAGGAAGCCCTACACATGTGAGCAGTGTGGCCGTGGCTTCGAGTGGAAGTCAGTATTCGTCATCCATCATCGGACACACGTGCGGGCCCCAGAGTTGGCCATCGGGGGAGCAGAGAAGTCGCCGCAGGGTCCCCGGGAGCCAGCTGCTCCTCGCCACCTCAGGCGCTCACTTGCAGGCCCCCGGAGCTACTCGTGTGAAGAGTGCGGGCGCAGCTTCAGCTGGAAGTCGCAGCTGGTCATCCACCGCAAGAGCCATGCTGGGCAGCGGCGCCACTTCTGCAGTGACTGTGGCCGGGGCTTCGACTGGAAGTCTCAGCTGGTCATCCACAGGAAGAGCCACCAGCCAGAGGCTTCATAAGCAGATATAGAGGGCGCTAGCCTTGGAGGTCTCGGGGGCTGGCTCCAGTACAGCTCTGTCTGGGAGTCTCTGAAGGCAGAAGGGGACACTGGACTGAACCAGGGGTCCCAAGAGAGTCTTTTCCCTGGCCTGGCCTCCCACAAAAGGCCACCTGGGTGTGAGGAAAAGAAGCTGCTGCTTCTCCTCCTGCGCCTGCCTTCTGGAGTGAGGTCTGGATTGGAATTCATGGGTTACTAGTGAATGTGGGGTGACTGCCAAGCCCTGAGCACCTCACCTGTGCCATAGTGCAGACTGAGGACAATTCCTCCTCCTGGGACTTTGTTTCCCAGGTGGATGCTCAAAAGCTTTGCCTTCCTGCCTCTTGGGCTGGACCTGAGGTCTCAGAGTGGAAGGCAGCAGAAAGCCCAGGAAAGCATGGCTGGCTTTTGTTTGTCCGGCTCCATGTGACCCTTGAACCTCCACATGCATGTTAGATTTTTAACATAAATTCTTGATTTCTGGCTTCTGCTGGTCAGAAGATCAGCAAGGTGCTCTCCCTGCCTGGCAGCTGGAGCCGCAAGGCAGCTGAGCCCAGAAGTGCCAACCCTCCTGTTGCCATAGCCCCCAATTCCCCAGCCTACCTGGTTCCTTGGCTGCCGACATCACCCACAATTTCGCCGGCCTTTGAGCTCTTGAGCCCAGGCTTGGGTGGACAATAAGGGGACTTCCTTTTCAAGCATGGATGAACAAGGGTGACCTCTGAGAAGAGAGGCCACAAACAGGCGTCACAGAGACTGTGTGTACTTCTAGGTCAGGGCTGCACCCCATGTGGTCAGTTGGTCACACAGCAGGAGGGCAAACGGCCTGCCCCCTGCTGCCAGAGAGAGCTGGTTGCATTTACGAGCAGTCACTCGTGACTTACCCGTGCACCATATGAGCTTCCTATTGCTGCTCTAACAAACTTGGTGGCTTGAAACAACACATTTATTCTACTAGGGCTCTGAAGGTCAGAACTGTGATTGGGTGTCACTGGACTAAAAGCAAGGTATCAACAGGGCTGATTCCTCCTGGAGGCTCCAGGAGAGAATCTGTCTTGTTGCCTTCTCTAGCTTCTGGAAGCTGCCTGAATTCCTTGGCATGTGGCCCCTTCGTCTTCAAAGCCAGCAATGAATGGTCAAGTCTGTCTTAGGCTTCCAGCTCTCTGACTCTGGTCCTCCTGCCTCCTTCTCATAAAGACTTTGGTGATCACATTTAGGTCCTCCTGGTAATCCACGATAATCTCCCCATCTCAAGGTCTTTCATCACATCTTGTCTCCTTCCCACCTGCACACTTAATCACACTTGCAGAGTCCCTTTTGTCATGTGACATAACATGTTCACAGGTTCCAGGGATTCTTGGTGTGTGTGTGGGGGGGGCCGCTTACTCAGCACTCTTTGTTTCCTTCCTACTTTGAAAACGAGGGGCATTTTCATGGGGGATGTTTTTGGGAAACAGGTGCACTCTCGGGAGGGAGCCCTCTGAAGCCACCAGCAGGTGCATGAGTAGCAGGTGGATGTTGAGGGTGGCTGCTGTGGTTACCCAGGCAGGGGCCTTGCTACAGCCTGAAGCTGGGACAGGGGAGGTCTCCCTTTGGAGGGTTGGTCTCCTCCATCCTCAGTCTTCTGAGGACCTTCTAACCGTTGCTCATATGCTCAGGCCTCTAGAAGCAGGACCAGGCTGGAGATGAAGCTGGGGGTAGGTAATCTGGTGGGCAAACAGGAGGCAAGATCAGTGTGCTGGTGACAAGGAGGAGGAGGACAAAACCCCTGGACTCGAGCCAGGCCCTGGCTTCAGAAGGGAGAGCCTGGGTGTAGAAGGCTGTGAAAGGGGCAGCGGTGGGGGGGAGCACTGCACTGAGGGAGGGTGGGCGAGCAGTTTTTTCATATTTAAAAGTAATTTATGGGGCCGAGCCCGTGGTGCACTCGGGAGAGTGCGGCACTGGGAGAGCAGCAGCGCTCCCACCACGGGTTCGGATCCTATATAGGGATGACCGGTTCACTCACAGTGCTCACTGGCTGAGCGCGGTGCGGCCGGTCTCAAAAAAGGACAAAAAAAAAAAAAGTAATTTATGTTCACTTAGAAAAATGTGAAATATAGGGTCGGCCTCGTGGCTCACTCGGGAGAGTGCGGCGCTGGTAGCACTGAGGCCGCGGGTTTGGATCCTATATAGGGATGGCCGGTGCGCTCACTGGCTGAGCGTGGTGCAGACCACACCGAGCCGAGGGTTGCGATCCCCTTACCGGTCAGGAAAAAAAGAAAAATGTGAAAATGCAAAAGCACAAAGATCATGAAAATAGCCCCTGATTCTCCTGTCTCATGGCAATGCTTATTCTGGGTGTCCATGTGTACGGGTGTTTCAGTATAAAGTTGCTTGTGAGATTTATGGTGATTTGAATCATGCTCTTCGCACTCCCTCATTTCCCTGTGTTATTAAAATTTTAACATGTTTTTAATGCCTGGATGAAGCTTCCTTTTCTGGCCGGCACCATCATTTCTGCCAAGCCAAGAGAGTTCCTTGTTGTCTCCCATGGTACCTGGTGCTGTGATGAATGTTCTTGAGCATACACTTTGGACACTACTCTGGCTATTTCCCTAGGACGTATTTCCCAAAGTGGGATTGGTGAATCACAGGCAGCATGTGATTTTGTTGTTTTTGTTTTTGCTTTAAAAGAACTTATTTATTATTTTGCAGTTCTAGAGAAAAGAAGTCAGACATTGTCTCACCAAGCTAAAATCAAGGTGTTGGCAGGGCTGCATGCCTTCTGTGAACTCTGGGAGAGAATTGTTCCTTGCCTTTTCTGGCTTCCAGAGAGTGCCTGAATTTCTTGGTTTGTGGCCCCTTCCTCCATCTTCAAAGCTAGCACTGGCCAGTCTTTCTCACAGAGTATCACTCAGACACTCTCTTCTGCCTCCCTTGACCACTTATAAGGACCCTCGTGATGACATTGGGCCCACCTGCATAATCCAGAATAATCTCCCCATCTCAGTCAGATGATGGGGCATGGGATTTTTTTTTTTTTTTTTTTTAAAGATGACCGGTAAGGGGATCTTAACCCTTGACTTGGTGTTGTCAGCACCACGCTCACCCAGTGAGCGAACCGGCCATCCCTATGTGGGATCCGAACCCGGGGCCTTGGTGTTATCAGCACCTCACTCTACCGAGTGATCCACGGGCCGGCCCGGGTCATGGGATTTTTAAATTCTTGCTACATGCAACAACATAGTTGAATCTCAAAAACATCAGGCTGAGTAAAAGAAGTCAGACACAAGAGTCCACACTGTGATTCTGTTAATGTGAAGTCCAAACACAGGCTGAATTAATCCATGGTGATCAAGGTCAGAACAGTGTTGATCTTTGGGAGATAATAAGGGAGAGGGGACCACAGGAGTCTTTGGGGGTGGGGTGGGACTGGGGCTAGAAATGGTCTATGTCTTGTTTTGTGTGGTAGCTATGCAGATGGTTACATGGGTGTCTACACATGTAAAAAATGGCTCACCTATAATTCATGCACTTTGCTGTGTATTGGTAAAACCTCAATAAAAAAAGAAAAGAACTGAAGCAAATGTTAACAATTATTGATTCTGGGAGGTGTGTTGATAGCTGTTACATTATTATCTACATGTTTCTCTATTTGTAAAACTTCTAGAAAAAAAGTCACCATGTGATCTTCTCAATTGCTATAAAGGCATTTGGTAAAAAAACAGCTATTGATTAAATGGACTAAGTGCGTCCCCCCCAAATTCATATGAAACTCCCAGTGTGAAGGTATTTTGAGGTGGGGCCTTTTGGAGGTTATTAGTTTCAGATGCTATCATGAGGGTGGGACCTCCATTATCAGATGTGTCCTTATAAGAGCTCTCTGTCTCTCTTCACTGTGTGAGGACACAGCAAGAAAGCAGCTGTCTGCAAGCCAGGAAGAGAGCCCTCAACAGAACTCGGCCACATTGGCACCCTTAATTTGGAGCACACCAGGCACATACCTGCCCCAGAGTCTTTGCACTTGCTTTCTTCTACCTGGAGGGCTCTTTGCCAGACACACACAAGGCTCCTCTCCCTTCACTTATCCTCAGAGACAGCTTCCTAACCACCCCGCAGTATTCTTTATTTCTCTTTGCAGCACTTACTCTACCTGAATAGTTTGTTTGCTTGTCTTCTTGTTTATCTGCCTCCCGCACTAGAACTTCAGCTCTGTGAGGGCAGGGTCTTTGTTTTCTTTGTTTCATTCATTGCTGTACTTCCAACTCCTAAAACTGTGCTTGGTGCACACTAAGCGATCAATATTTACTGGATGATGAACTCAAAGCAAACTTTGTACTTATGGACACTAGAGACATTCCCATGACGGGCAGGGGAAGGAAAAGAATGTTTGTCACTTCAATTATAAGCATCAGACTCCAGGCTCTAGATAAAAAATGACAGAAAAGGAAAAAAAAAAAAAAAAAGACAATTACTGAAGGAAGAAGCAAATTGTCACTCTGTGTAGATGATTTCATTACCTCTCTCTAGAAAATCCAAGAGAACCTACTGAAAACCTATTAAATGTTTTTGGTGAGCTGCATGGATACAAAAAATCCTCAGCTTTTCTGTCAGAGTGATAACCATTTAGATAATGTAATTTTCTAAAAAAAATTTTTTTCAGAAAAAAAAAGTAATTTTCAAATCTCAATTCATAATAGCAATACCGATACTAAAAAATGCCTAGGAATAGATTTGCAAATAAATATGAAAAGACTAAGCAGAGAAACTAAAACTTTATTGAGGGTCATAAAACAGATCAGGCTAAAAGCAGAGACATATCTACCCGTAGCAGAAGCCACTGATCCTTCTAAGCCTGTTTCCACTTGCTCCTTATTCCTTTTCCCCCTGAATGCCACTGAGCTGGATCCAGAAAGGAAGAATCAGACAGGTTCAGAACCAGAAACAACTGTGAATAAAGTGTAAAGACAGACAGATGTGAGGAGTCTCCCAGTGGACAAGCCACTCCCCTCTCTTCCCCACTTCCCCTACCCGGCCCAGGAGACCAAGGGGCCATACATAGGCTGCCTCTAGGGGGAAGATGGCAGAAGGGGCCATGACCCCAGGAATGCAGCCTCGAGAAGCTGGAAGAGGTAAGGAAATAGATTCTCCCCTAGATCCTCCAGGAGGAACCAGTCCTGCTGATACCTTTATTTCAGCCCATGAGGCCTCCAGACCTGCAGAACTGTAAGATAATGAGTGTGTATCATTTTTTTTTTTTTGTCTTTTTGTCTTTTTTCCGTGTCCGGCAACGGATCGCAACCCTCAGTGTTGCCCCCGTACCGGACCGGGGACCGGCAACGGGATCGCAAGCCTCGGCGTTGCCCCCGGCCTCGCTCAGCCAGTGAGCGGGAGCCGGTCTGTATGTGGGATCCGAACCCTAGGGCGGGAGCACCGCCGCACTTCCCAAGCGGCGCACTATCCAGTGCGCCACCGGGCCGGCCCCAATGAGTGTGTATCATTTTAAGCCACCATGTTTGTGGTGATTTGTTATAGCAGCAAGAGGAGACTCATACACACTGCTTCACCCACAGGAAGAAGAAAGGAGAATGGAGGGATGAAAGGTTTCACTTGACAAGGATGGGACTGGCTGGTTAGCTCACTTGGTTAGAGCATGGTGCTGATAACACCAAAGTCACAGATCCCCATACCAGCCAGCTGCCAAAAACAACCAAAAAAGAAACAAACAAAAACAGAAAAATGACAAGGATGATGTTTTTGGTTGGCCTGAAGTGCTGTGCAAACCATGGTGGGGAGGATGACAAGCAAGGAGTGCTTGGGGTATGGGGCAGTTTTGCTAAGGGGGTGGGGGGTGGTAAAAAAAAGACAGCAGAGTGGGACTATTTACATGTACCACCAAAGTGAGCCAGGAAGGCCAGAGCATGGAGCCCCAGGAGCTAGCCTAGGAAGAGATGCCACTGAGGAGCAGAAAGGGGTGATCAGACAAAGGGCTGTGGTGCCACAGACCCTACCTTCATAGTTAGCCCCCAAGTGGGGCTATAGGGTCCCTCAGTTCTCCCCGCTTTCTCTCTGTGTCCTGACCAAAAATCACAGAGGGGCTTGATTGCTCTGTGACCCAGCCAGCTGCAGGTTCCTCCCTACAGGCTGGAACCCAAACTGGGACCTTGAACATTCCCAGGCACTGATAAAAGTATCTAGGTTGTTGTCCAAAACACTGAAAGAAACTGGCCATGGCCCTGAACCAAATTCCTTAAACCCTCATATAAACTCCACACCCTGACCCCCTCGATGCAGACATACCTAGGTAGAACCTTCCTTTCTCTCGCTGCAGCACTCTGTAAGTAAGTTCCACTAGTAAATGCTTTGGATTGATCGCCCTGGCTTTTAGTGTGTCTTTCTTTAGAATTTCAACCAACCCACCTCAGGACAGTTTGGGGCACTCCTTTTTGGAAACTCCCTTGCAACGGCTTTTGGGGTGATTGCAGCCAAATGGTGAGATGAGACAGGGGTTTCATGGATGAGGCATTCCAGCTCCACACTCTTGCCTGGGCCAGTGATCCCACACCTCTGTCCCTATTATGTCACCACTACAGGCAGCCACATGACATCAGACCACATGCCACTAGAGCACTGCTTACATGCCAAGCCTGTTGTGACTTTACACTTGTCTCCTCCCTGACTCCTCACCACTGCCCCCAATAGGCTGTGACCATCTCCTTGGCAGATGAGGAGAAGGAGCCCAAGAAAGCCTGGGTCTAGTGCAAGGGCAGGGGCCAGACACACCGTGCCCTAAGCCACTGAGCCCATTCCTTTATCCTCAGGCCATCTGCCTTTTTTTTTTCCCCCTGCAGAGAATGAGATTGCAAGGCCATCTGCTTCATTTTTGACATATCCCTCTTTCAACAGAATCATACATTTATTTTATTTATTTATTTTTGGTGTTGGCCAGTACAGGGATCTGAACCCGTGACCTTGGTGTTATAAAGCTGTGCTCTAACCAACTGGGCTAATCAGCCAGCACCACACGTTTATTTTAAAGTAAAATTCACATCATCCAAGAAGAAAAGAAACTGCATATCAAGTCACCTTAAAATAGATAACTTCTAAATTAATACATGTTCCTCCATGTAGCCCAATTCTCCACCTGGAACCACACTTGGTAAGTCCTGCCCATTGGTGCCCATAACCAACTCCAGCTCCCCTCCAATTGGTGCTGTCTTTGCAAGAGGCAAGCCCCTTTCTGGGGTCTGTACAGGATACAACCTCCTCCCACAGCAGCAGATGCCTGGGATGGACCCCTCTCCTGACAGGCCATGGGCACCACGTGGAGCAGTTCACTTTGAAACGCAGCTTGTGTTTTCTGTGATCTTGGCAACAACAAAGGCATTTGAATACGGGCTGCAGCCAGTGCTTGTGTACTACTCAGCCATCTCTCCCTCTGTGGGAGTCTCACCCATCTCACCTGATGACCCCTCCCCAGGACTCCCCAGCCTGGGGTCCTCCCCCACATGGTCTGTCTGGACCAGGTCTGCCTGTCCCACTCCCCAGCACCAGACAGGTCCTAAGGACCTCCCCTCCTGCCACACTTGCTCTTTCCTCAGATCCAGCCTCTCGGGTCATGATCACCCCACCCTTCCCAGCAGTTTCTCCCTACAGGCCTCCTGCCACCCAGTCTCATTCCCAGCAGGGACAGCAGGGACCTGGCCCACAGCTTTCGCCCATGAGGCTCTGCCCAACCCTCCCTGAATGGGTGGCATGTCAGAAAAAAGAGAAGACCCTGACTTACTCCGAGTCAAACTACAGGGTTAGCAACCATGTCCATGCCTCCTCAGGGCACCCTCACCTGGGACAGGCAGGTTCTAGAGAAGAGAGTTCAAGAAGGCAGAGTGAAATGGATTGAATTGTGTCTTCCAAGTTTTATGTATTAGAAGCTTGATCCCAGGCCAGCCCGTGGTTCACTTGGTAGAGTGCGGTGCTGATAACACCAAGGCCACGGGTTCGGATCCTATATAGGGATGGCCGGTTTGCTCACTGGCTGAGTGTGGTGCTGACAACACCAAGCCAAGGGTTGAGATCCCCTTACTGGTCATCTTTAAAAAAAAAAAAAAGAAGCTTGATCCCCATTGTAACTGTTGAGGGTGGGAAATCCTATTATAATAATTGAAAGGTGGGGCCTTGAAGAAGTGACTAGATTCTTAGGACCATGCCCTAATGAATGGATTAATAATGGTGTTCAATGGGCATAGTTCTGAGGGCTGTAAAAGGAGAGCACATGAGAGTCTCTCTCTCTCTGCTCCTACCTTTCTTGCAATGTGATACCCTGTGTCAGCACCAAAGAAAACCCTCACGAGATGTGTTCCCTGGACTTTGGACTTCCCAGCCTCTGAAACTGTAAATAATAAATTTTGTTTCCTTACAAATTACCCAGTTTCAGGTATTTTGTTATAAGCAACAGAAAGACTAATACAGAAAATTGGTACCAGAGAAGTGGGGTGTTGCTTATAACAAATACTTGAAAATGTGGAAGTGGCTTAGGATCTGGGTGTTGAGGAGAAGCTGGAAGAATTTGGAAGAACAGTCTAGGAAAAGCCTAGCTGCTGGTGGGAGTTTAGAAGACAAGAAAACCAGGGAAGTTTACAACTTCTTAGAGACTGGTTCAATGGTGGTGAGCAGAATGCTGATAGAAATATGGACAGTAAAGGCCATTCTGAGATCTCAGATGTAAATGAGAAGGGACTTATTGGAAACTGGGGCAAAGATCACCCTTACTATGATCTGGTTAGGAACTTGGCTGCATTTTGTTCATGCCCAAAAGTTTTATGCAATGTGGAACTTCAAGGTGCTGACCCAGAGTATTTGGCAGAAATTTTTAAGCAGCAAAGCATTAAGGAAGCTGCATGGCTACTTGAAACAGCCTACACTGAGTTATGGTAGAAAAGGCACAAGGCAAAGCCAGAATTTATAATTCAAAAGAAAGCAGAGGGAAAAAAGTTGGAAAATTTTCAGCCTGGCCACAGAAACAATGGTACAGCCCAATGACCATCTGCCAAGATTAGTACAGAAGAAAGGGATTATGAAGAGAAGAGGAAAAAGACCTTGAAGGCATTTCAGAGGCTACCTCTTCCATTACAGGCTTGGAGGCTTATGGAGACAAAATGATCTCAGGGAACAGGCCTGAGATGCCCTCCACAGGCTCGCTGGCCAGGCCACCTTGGGATGCTGGTCTCTGCACCAGCACCCTGGCTGTTTTGGGTGCTCCAGCTGTGGCTAAATTGGCCTCAGGTGTGGCTGGACCTGAACCTCTGGAAGCTACAAGCCAGAAGCTTTGGCGGTGTGCACACAAGGTGCTGTCTGTAGGCTCCCAGAATGCCAGAGCTGTGAAGGCTTGGAAGACTCCACCCTGAATTCAAATGATGTATGGAAAAGCCTGGGGGCCTAGGAAAAGATCTGTTACAATGGGGGATTCACCACATAGAGGCTTTGCTAGAGAAATGCCAAGAGGGGGGCTGGCCCGGGGCTCACTCGGGAGAGTGTGGTGCTGATAACATCAAGGCCACGGGTTCGGATCCTATATAGGGATGTCCGGTTAGCTCACTGGCTGAGCGTGGTACTCACAACACCAAGCCAAGGGTTGAGATCCCCTTACCAGTCATCTTTTAAAAAAAAAGAGGGGGCAGGCCTGTGGCTCACTCGGGAGAGTGCGGTGCTGATAGCACCAAGGCCACAGGTTCGGATCCCATATAGGGATGGCCGGTTGGCTCACTGGGTGAGCGTGGTGCTGACAACACCAAGTCAAGGCTTAAGATCCCTTTACCGGTCATCTTTAAAAACAAAAAGAAAAAAAAAAAGAAACGCCAAGAGGAAATGTGGGGTTAGACTTGCAGCAGAGAAACCTAATCAGCGTCATGCCTAGTGGAGCCATTGGAGCGGGACCACCATGGAGACCCCAGAATTGTGGAGCTACCAGTGTGCAATGCCAGCCTGGGAGAGCTGAAGTGTGGCCTCGGACCAGGGAAGACATAGGAGCAGAGCTGCCGTCGGACTTGAGGACCCAACTCCTACAACAGTGTGCAGAGGATATCGAACATGGAGTCAAGGTGTATGATTCACCAGCTTTGAGATTTAACGCCTGCCCTGCTGGGTTTTGGGCTTGCTTAGGACCTGTTACCCTTTTCTTTGGGCCTATTTCTCCCTTTTCGAAGGGGAATATGTACCCTATGCTTGTTCCACCAATGTATCTTGGCAGTAGATAACTTGTTTTGATTTCACAGATGGGACTCTGAACTTTGAACTTTTGAGTTGAAACAAGTTAACACTTTGGGGATGGAATGAACGTATTTACCTGTGAGAAGGATGTAAACTTTTGGGGCCAGGAGTGGTATGATATGGACTGTGAACCCCAAGTTTTATGTATTAGAAGCTTGATCCCATTGTAACTGTTGGGAGTGGGAAATCCTATTATGATAATTGAAAGGTGGAGCCTTGAAGAGGTGATTAGATTCTTAGGACCGTGCCCTAATGAATGGATTAATAATGGTGGTCATGGGCTTGGTTCTGAGGGCTTTAAAAGGAGAGCAGGTGAGACTCTCTCTCTCTGTTTCCACCATCTCACAATGTGATACACTGTGTCACCACCAAAGAAGACATTATCCAGATGTGTTCCCTAGACTTTGTACCTCCCAGCCTCCAAAACTGTAAGCAATAAATTTTGTTTTCTTATGCATTACCCAGTTCCAGGTATTTTGTTATAAGCAACAGAAATGAACTAATACACAGAAGGAGATGAACGTGAAGAGGTGCCTCTCATTACCACCGTTGTTTATCATTATCATGACTTGTTCGTTGATAGAGAAAAACTCACCTTAATCCATCAAACCTGAGAGCACAGCCCCAGATGCTGAAGAGGGAGCAGGGAACTCATCTGCCATTAGGGGCGGGGCATTTAACATGGGGCAGCCAAGGAAAGGTGGGACAAACTGTGGACTTGGGAAAGTCTTTAAGAAACTTCACCATCTGAGCCATCACAATAGCATCGCCTGTATTTTGACAACTCACAGGCTATGCGACAGGCATTGTTTATTCCCTTGGACAACACAGGCTGCTGTTCATGGGATTCACTGGTCCTTGTAGGAGGGCATCCACCAACCACTTCAGGGATCCCTGCACCAGTAGGCACCCTGAGAGTGTGACAAAAGCACGGTGCCCTCCAACACCTTTCACTTCTCTACCTAGCCAGTGTTGTGCATGGGAGAAGGCAGAACTGAGGAAGAATTTTGACACAGGACTAGCTGAAAAAGTTTTGAAATAAGAGTAAGGAGAAGGAATTCCTTATCAAATATTAAAACTTATTACAAAGCTGTGCTAATTACAGTGGTGTGGGACAAGGAGAAACAGAATAAAATAAAATGTGTGCCATCTGTCCTCCAGCACATCCCATATCCCACGACAGTGGAGTGTGGGGTGGGACTCAGCCTACTTATTTCTCTCCAGGAGGCCAAACCTCCCCCACAGCCCAGGACATTTTTGAAAAAAAGAAATGAGGGCTTCCCATCTCACCAAGATCCTCTTCAGTTCAGCCAGATGTTTCCCATACAAATGTTTTGTTCTGCCTGTTCACATTACTGATGGTCTTTCCTCCTTCCCCCACCACCCATGCTCCTTCTCAGTCTGCCCCTGGCGTCCAGCCCCTGGGGAACAGCTGGGGTGAGTCCCTGGGTCCTCCCTACCCTCCCTCCTTTCTTTCTCTGGATTGTTGCTCCAGCTGACTGTGTTGCTTTTTAATATTGCACCGACGGTTTATAAGGAAAATTTTTTAGAAAGGAAAAAAATAAGTAAAATGCGTGTGATATATTGAATAAATAATTCATAGTTTCTAGTCTAGGGGGAGAATAAGAAAAGTAAACAATTTTTGTTAATCCTTGCAAATGTAACAGCAAAAAGTGTGAATGCTCCAAGCTGGTTGGGGTTTGGTAGAGCATGGATTTGTATAAAGAGCTGGTGAACTTGTAAATCTGAGGATCCACAGTGAGATTTTTATATCATCCATGCCCTCTGACCTGACATCTGCCATGATGCGGTTGGCTAAGTAACTCTTGGTTAAAGTGCGTCTCTCAGCTGGGGCTTCCTTGGGCATATAGTGAAAACACTACAACCCATCTTGTGAGATGTGGTGAGGAGATGAGCTGTCAGTGGAGAAATAACGGTCCTGGCCTGGCCCCAAGGAGCCCAAGAGGGTTCTCAGACACAAGTTTATTTTTGTTATTGTTGATGAGGATCCCCTCCAATGACAATGCAAGGTGCAGTCAACACCGCACCTTACTCTGAGGCCCTGAATAAAGTATGAGAGCCAAGATGCCAACAGCAGGGACAACAGGTAGCCCTTGTGGGGAATTTTTCCTGTGATTTTCTCATTTAATCCCCACAAACATCCTTCGAGGTAGGCATGATCCTCAGCCCCATTTTCCACTGGAGGAAACTGAGGCATGGGAGGCAGGTGGGTCTAGGGACTTGCCTAGGGTCACACAGCCTATAAGTGGCTGCCTCTCTTTCCACACAGAATTCCTCATGGGAGAATGGCCATAACTTAACGCCCACTCACAACATGGTACATGCAACAGAAGTAGAGGTATCTGGGCTCAGGCTGGCACTGGGTCATGGGCAGCATGGTACTGGAGAGCAGGGCCCAGCAGGTGTCAAGGGATGGTCACAAGATATGGCAGGACCATGGGGCTGCAGTGGGGGTGGCCGGCGCCAACCTCTGCTGCTTCATCTGTGCACTCCAACTCCCTTCTGGGGTGGTCTCTGGTCCCAGAAGATACAAAGGCCTTAATGTAACAAGGACTGTGTTCAGGGCAGGAGAGTTGGGCCTTTCAGGGGGACCAGCTCAGTCTCTGCTGCTAGGCACCAGCTGTTAAATAATATTGGACCTACTGTGCACCAGAGGTTGACAAGCTAGGGCTGCAGGAGGGGGTGGTCATCCTAGGCCTCTGCTGCTGTGTTCACACAGCTCTAACTCCCTTCCTGGCCAGGGTCTCTCCAGGTGCTATTGTGTACAGGCAAGGAGGGTTGGACCACAGTGGGCGTGGATCCAAATCCAGTTGCGCGAAGGGGCTGAGGTTCTGCAGGGGCCAGGCGGAGATCCGTCGGCCGCGCAGGACAGAGACAGCAAGTGACAACAACCACTTCGTGGAAGATAATCATAGGTCGCAACCGCCACCGATGACGAACAGATCCTCATAGCGGGATCTAAGGTAAAATGACCAGACTCCAGAGTCACTGTCTCCGCCCCAGGCTGCAAGGCTGACAGGCAGAGCTTCATCCACCGGCTCCCTGAAGAGCTCAGCGCGGCCCTACTGCCCGACGGCCTGTGTGCGGCGCTGCCTGTGCCGTTCAGGCCTCGCCGCGGCCCACCGGCTCCAGGAGGCTGAAGCGCGGTGGAGTGCAGGTTAAGGATCGGCGGGGTCGCAGCCTACGACACTGACAGGATAGGCTTGAATCCAGGCATTACTGTTGTGGGGTTACTATCGTCGCCTTCACCGCCTGAGCGGCGCGCCCAAAGGTCACCGGGGGAAATCCCACCTGGGGCTACCGCTACAACTGCTCCAGCATTTGCCGCCTCGCCTACAGCTCCCACAATGCTCCGAGCTGAACTTCCGGCTCTTGAGCCGCGGCCGACTACACTTCCCAGAGACCTTGGTGGCCGCTCGCCTATGCCTACACCTCCCACAATGCCCCTTGGGGCACTTCCGGGCCCAGAGCTGGCCGACTACACTTCCCAGACGCCCCCAACTACTTCTGCACAATGCTCCGCGTACTGCTTCCAACCCCTGAAACAGCGCAGACTCCATTTCCCAGAGGTCTTGATGCCCAGGAGCCCCTGCCTAAGCTCCCACAGTGCTCCAGGAAGGACATGCATCCCTCAAGACGGAGCGGACTCCATTTACCGGAGGCCTATGCGCCCGCTGCTTCCGCCCACAAGACTTGCCCCAGGGATTCTGCAGGCGCTGTTCACTCTGCCAGGGACGCTCCTCTCCCAGTTGATTCCTGCTCGCCCGTCTTTGTCAGATGGCTTATCCACAACACTTCTCCCCACATTCTCCAGATCACAGGGGAACCATCTACATCCGTTGTCCCACCCTGACCCAAGCCTGGCCCCCCTCAGTGGCCACAAAAGACACACAGATGGAGTAAGGACTCTTATTTTCTATCCTGGAGTGGCTGCGAGGTTGGCCAGCTGCCCCTATACCTTTGGCCTTGCCCAAACAGTGCCATCCCGCGGGAATAGCTGAGGTCCCTGGCAGGGAGGTAGAGGATACCCTGGGGTAAGGTCTCCGGAGGATACAGGGCCCTTCACTCCTCCATTGTTCTTTCATCCACGCAGATTTGTGTACACGTTCGAGTTTATTCACGCTCTACTACTGGGTCCAGTGTCATTTCCAGCCCTGTGCGGCTGGGGACAGGGCCAGTCTGGGATTCATGACAATCTCATGCAGGTGCGTGGTGGAGGTGACACTGAGTGGGGGTGGTGACCGGTGTTGGTTTCTGCCCCTTCAGATGTCCTGTGCGCTGGCCAGGTGGTCAGAGCTTCCAGGTTCCCTCACACACAGCCCGGTACACGTCTACCGTCAGGGGCCGGTAGGCCTGGGCCCGGTTGTCCAGTATGAACAGGGGGTCAACGATGACACCCACGTTGAATCCCTCACGCATCAACCGGGACTTAACCAGTTTGAACGTGCCCGTGACCTCCAGAGCTTCCTGCAGGACAATGACCATGACCCCCTGACTGTGATCCACCTCCAGCCATAATCCCCCACCCACCTACTCTTGCTACTCTGGGCTCACCTGGACACGGATGAAATGGGGAGTAGCGTAAGTAGGGAGCCAAGAGCGGACGTGTAGGTACAGCTTCTGCCCGTCGAAAGTCTGGCCGGGAGCCAGCTGCACGGCAGCCATACCCACCTTACCCTCACACCCTGGAAAGCACACCGGTCACTCTCTGCTGACCCACTTCGTGGGGCACATGGCGAACCCTCCCGCCTGGTCCAGCTCTGCTCACTAGTTATGCGACTGGGCAAGTCTTTAAACCTCTCTGTGCCCTAGCAGCTCACCCACCTGTAAAATCGGGATAACAGCCCTCCTCCCACAAAGCTGTTAAGAGGTTTAAAATGAGGCGAACCCTCCGCACCTGGCACAGACACGCCATAGACGTTAACCTCCTGCAGGAAATCCACCAGTGACAACACGCCTTCCACCTCCCGCGTCGACACGTTCTCACCCTTCCACCTGTAGAGTTGGAGCCAGTGCTTGTGATTGCGCCTCTAGAACCTCCTCTTGCCCACCAAGCCCCGCCTCCTATGAGGAAGTGAAAGCTTGGTCAGCCCAGGACCCTCCAGAACCGAGAAGCTCCGCCTTCGGATGGGAAGTACTGCCTCCAAGCCTCACCTCTTTAAGGATAGGAAGCCCCGCCCCCTAGGCATCCGGAAGTCCCTCCTCTTCAGCCTGGCTCCCTCTTGGATCTGGAAGATCCCCTGCTTTAATCCCCAGAAACCCCGCCTCCCAGTTCCGGCCCGAGAAAACCCGCCCCGGACCGGAATGTGTCCCCGAGGCGGTCACGGAAGTACAGGAAGCCTTCGCGGTCCATGGCTAGTACATCCCCGGTGTTGAAGTAAACGTCATCCGTGCGCCGCACGTTCCGCACCAACTTCCGTTCCGACAGCTCCCGGGGGCCGCGGTAGCCCACGAAGGGGTTACGGCCTAGCACCTGAGACAACAGGAGCCCCGCCTCCCCTAGGAGTAGGAATAAGAGTGGGGTATAAAGCATGACCAGTAACTGCAGGAGCCCACCAGCCTCCTGTTGGAGGTTTCCAGCAACTCTTCATCACCCAGGACCCTGCCAAAGACAGTCAAAGAAACAGAGACAGACACCAAGATAGAGACAGAGAGATCCAGAAAGGGGAAAGACACAAGGACAGAGACAGAGGACAGAGAGAGACCCTGAGAGACAGGAACAGGAGGATACAGAAAATGAGAGATGGAAGCACAGAAAAAGCATCATCGGGGAGCCAATGAGAAACAGGAAAAGGATTACAAGGGATAGAGACAAATGGTGATGGGAAGAAAGAGATATGGCTAGGGCCTTGCAAGCCCCCAGGAGAAAAGACTCTAAGAGAAGGTACAGAACAAGGGACTGGTTCCTGGAAAGATGTAACTTCCACAGAAAGATTGAGAGAACTCAGATGGACAACCAGAGACCCAGCAGAGCAGGCTGAGAGATTGAAGCAGGAAAGCTGAGCAGAGTCAAGTAGCTGAGGCAGAGGGCCACAAAGGGTGGTCAGACAGGCCAGGGACTCAGGGTCCTGATGAGGGCTGTGGACATCTCTACTGGTCAGCAATCTCAACGTTTTGGGCAGCTTCGTCCAGCCAAGAAAGAAATTGAGGGGTCTCCACACCTCCACTCCCTACAACCAGGGAAGGCTCCCTGACCACCATACCTGGCCCCACAGGGATGCAGAAGCCCTGATTGTCTCTCACAGGCTCCTCTGTCTCTGGGTCATATTGTACCAGTTCAAAGGGGATCAGCATCTGGGGTGGAGGTTGGGGAGCATCAGTAGAGGTCTTGTGGACTTAGCCTCAGTCAGGGCCACTGTCATGCCGAGCACCCGAACCACTCACTCGAAGGAGACAGCTCATCCTGCCCAGGGCCCCACAGCGCCCTAGATAGTTCATGAAGCCAATGTTGCCCTCCGTAGAGCCATAGATTTCCAAGATCTGAATGGGACCGAAGCGCTTCTGGAAGGTCTCCCACACATCTGCCCGAAGTCCATTGCCCACCACCAGACGGACTGTATGTGTCCGGTCCTCTGGTTTCTACAGAGACATCCCAAGAAGGGTGAGGAGGAGGTGCCCTTGGAGCATGACCAGGAATCCTTACCTGGGGTGGGGGAGGGAGGTTGTCTCAGGTCCTTACCTCTAGAGTTACCTGGGGGGTGAGGGGAGACGTATACCTAGGTGATCTCCCTAGGATTCTTTTTATTTATTTTTTTTAAAGATGACCGGCAAGAGGATCTTAACCCTTGACTTGGTGTTGTCAGCACCACACTCTCCCAAGTGAGCGAATTGGCCATCCCTATATAGGGATCTGAACCCTTGGCCTTGGTGTTATCAGCACCACACTCTTCCAAGTGAGCCACAGGCCAGCCCTACCTAGGACTCTTACTTGAGTAGTTACTGGAGTCTTTACTTGAAGGGTTACCTGAGAGCCTTGCCTGGGGGAAATTACCTGGGGGCATTACCTGGAGGGTTACCTAAAGGGTGACTGGAGGTCTCTTCTGGGGTCTTACCTGAGGATGATACCTGGAGGCCTTACCTAGAAGGCTTACTTGGGGACCTTTACCTGGAGGTAAGCTCGGGAATGACTTGAGGGCTCATATTAAAGGATTACCTGAGGCCCTTACCTGGGGATAGTTACATGGAGTTTTTCCCTGAGGAATGCCTAGAGGCTTTACCTGGAGGGATACCAGGGGACCATGCCTGAAGATAGTTCCTGGGGACCATACCTCATCACTCTGTAAGGATAAGGCTGACTCACATCTAGTGAGTCTACCTGAACCCTATTCTTGACACTTTACTTATATTTAATTCATTTAATTCTCACAACACTCCCCTGAGGTAGGGGCTATTATTATCCCATTTTCCAAATGAGGATACTGAGGCTGAGAGAGGTAGTCATCTGCCCAAGGTAGCATAGCTGGTCATCAGAGGAGCCACTATCAGAAACTTTGTGTAGGTCCAGCCCGTGACTCACTTGGGAGAGTGTGGTGCTGATAACGCCAAGGCCACGGGTTCGGATCCCTATATAGGGATGGCCGGTTAGCTCACTTGGGAGAGCGTGGTGCTGACAACACCAAGTCAAGGGTTAAGATCCTCTTACCAGTCACCATTTTTTTTTTTAATTAAAAAAAAAAAAAAAGAAAATTTGTGTAGAAATCATTATATGGGGCTCTTGCCTAGAATGTTTTGCATGAGGGAACTTGTTTGAGTCCCATTCCTGAATCTTTACCTGAGACTCACCTGGGATATCATCTGAGATTTCATACCTGGGGTGTTCACCATGGAGCCCTACTCTTAGAGCCTTACCTGGGGAGCATTACACAGGTATCGCAAGACCTCGCCCACATACGGGATCACTGTCACGCCATGCTGCCGACAGTCATTCCAGAAGCAGGAGGCAGAGAACTTGGGGGCCAGGACACAGGTGGCTCCTGGGAGGGAGGGAGGAAGGAGTTTCAGGTTATGTAGCCAAGTTCCTGTGAGAAGCTGCTTTGTTCACCTGACTGTGACCCCCTGAAGCACTGGATAATGTTGAGCTCATCTTTGTGTCCCTGGCCAAGCCAGAATTGCCCCCACAGAAGAGCACTGGCAGTCCTGGGTTCAAATCCCATCTCCAAGAATGCAGCTTTACTTATTTATTTATTTTAAAAGATGACCAGTAAGGGGATCTTAACCCTTGACTTGGTGTTGTCAGCACCACGCTCTCCCAAGTGAGCAAACCGGCCATCCCTATATGGGATCCGAACCCGTGGCCTTGGTGTTATCAGCACCACACTCTCCCAAGTGAGCCACGGGGCCTGCCCCAAGAGTGCAGCTTTAGAACACCAAGGTCGGGCCAGCCCATGGCTCACTTCGGAGAGTGTGGTGCTGATAACACCAAGTCAAGGGTTAAGATCCCCTTACTGGTCATCTTTTAAAATAAATAAATAAGTAAAGCTGCATTCTTGGAGATGGGATTTGAACCCAGGACTGCCAGTGCTCTTCTGTGGGGGCAATTCTGGCTTGGCCAGGGACACAAAGATGAGCTCAACATTATCCA